CTGATAGGACAAGCTGTGAAGTGATCTTTTTTGTAATACCACTATCTATCCTTATGGTTCTTACCCTTTTTCTATCTAAAAGTATTCTGATAAAGAATAAGGGGCCGCGCTTTTAAGCAGCAGCAACGTGCACTCCGCCCATCTTTTGGACGACTGTACGAACATAATTTCACTGTATTCCGGTACAATGATAATAAAGCTTATTCTGATTCTGACATTTTTGAGTGAGTGCTGTGTACCACATAAAATCAGTTCGAGGTCAGTAAGCACAACCAGAATGAATATATAAGGTGCACCGGATTATAAGGCTCACTGTTGATTTTTGAGAAAATTCAAGGAATTTAAGTGCGCACAAAAATACGGTAAGTGTCTAAGATGAAGGCAGAATAACTTGAACACAAGCTCAGCTCATTGTTTAGAGATTATAAATGGACCATCCATTAAGAATCAACTCTAAACTCTGGATGGTGCCTAAACCACATTACTCCAGATGTTTTAACAAATCAGCTGCACACAGTCACCATGGTCTGAATGAAATATTATTAACGAATACCAACGGTGTGGTGTCTAATTCCCTGGTGCAAAAGTGGATTTACTTTAAAACTCTCATGAGGTGTTCTGTCTCCAGACGGCTCTGTCTGGATGTATTTTAGAGTCAGTCAATGAAAGGATGTTCTCCTCTGCACAACAGGGTGCTGTCTCACAGCTGCTCGCAGAGCCCAGTGTTGTAAATCACCTGGTGCTCAGGGTCTTATGAAACACCATGCTGGGTTTATCTCACAACCCCTGAATACCACTTCACCTTTGAATCCACTGCATTCTGACACCTTCTTTACAGTTGAAGGGTTTGAAACTGGAGCAAGCAGGGAGCAAGGTGCCATTAGCTGATTTTTTTAAATACATTTGGAGAGGAATGGTGTGTTTTCCTGCCTTTCAACAACAGGTATTCACGGATCCTGTGTTAGAACCCCGAGGCTGTTAAAGTGGAGTGAGACCTGATGGGATGAAGGCCCCGGCTAATGTTAATCCATTTCAATTCTCCGGCCACACTCTGACTCTTTCGAGCCAACACTTTAATCATTCCAAAACTGTAAAAGGGAAGCGCACAGTGTCACAGGGGAGATTAATGAGCGAGCCGTTCTTGTGTGTTTGCAGCTTCACTCTACACACCTACTGTGGGTGTTTAACAGCCATCCAACAAACATGTCAACAAGTGTTAGTCGCACAACGATGAACGCAGTTTCGCTTGACTCGATGCAGCCATTTGATTTAGAATATATTCTATCTGACAGCAGATACTATCATGACAATGTGAACAAATATTTGCTATTTATTTAAATGGATGGAGCTGGCACACAGAGCTGCTATTTGTCAGGAACACGTCAGCAGGTTTATGAACAGCAGATTGCCAATTTGATTTGAGCCAGGCGGTCCAGTAAATCTAATAAATCTTAATTTGCGTTTGTTTTTGTGTCTGAAGGAGAATCTATTATGTGGCGTTCTCGCTTTTAAAGATCATATGTCCTTTATTATGCAAAATATTAAATGTGGGGTTTTTTTTTTTTTTAGAAAAAGATTATTTTAAAAATCTAACTTGTTTCACTGACTAAACATCAGTGCTTATTTTAAATTAGAACTGTTTTGAATGGCTTTTACATGTGCATGTTTTTACATATGTATATTTTTATTTTTAATTAATGCAGTATAAAGTTAAGGCCTAGCATTCATTGAATGAATGCATATCATCCACCGTTTTAGTCTAAGATCATCGTGTGTTGAGAAATGATGGCATGTAGCCATTTTGGTTACACCCTGATAATAACATTTTGCACAATTTCAGGTTGTTAAACTCAGAGTATTCACTGTAAATCACTCTCAGCTACTACCACAACAAATTTTAGCCCAATCCCTTTTACTTTGACTGAGTTATAGCCGTTTTAGTTTTGGATAATGTTTACTGTGACAACCCTCTTAAATTGGACTGACTCCAAAAGTTAATCAGTTGTAGATGTACATCCAATGATTACTTATTAAAGTCAGTGCACTGTTTCATGAGATATTTTGCTAACAGACAAACAGGGTTGACTCCAACAGTTAATGCTTAAGCTTAATTTTCACTAATTCCTGCAATAAAAGCCCTTTTTTCCTTTTCATTTGTTTACACCTGACCTTACCTTGAACCAAAGAGCAGCGCAATTAGTTTAGACTTTTCCTTTAACTGCGTGCCACTGAATCCTGGAGTGTTCTGAATTTAAAGGTCTTCTCGGTCAATAATTAATTAATTTTTTTTACTTTGAAGTTCTCAACAACAACCAAATATATATTTAAAAGTTCGAAATACAGTTTTTTGAGCTCTCGTACCAACTTTCTGCTACTCTGATCAGAGGTGCTTCTAACTGTATGTGCCAACACAGAATACTGCAAAATCGGAGTATGAAAACACACACACACACACACACACACACACAGAAACAGTGACGAGCCAGTCCAATCTTTTCAAGACAAAATCACAAGCAGGACGCGTTTCACTTGGAGGAAGGAGGAACATATAGGCAAACAAAAAAGCAGAGGTACAGACACACAGACATGGAGAACGCCAGACAGGAAATGAAGTGTTCAGAGGAAAAAACACAGAAAGGACATTATTTCTCTTCCTGTTTCTATCCACAGCTTTCTGATAGATCTCTCAAATGTCTTCAAATTGCATTTATGTTTTTTGTTTGTTTGTTTGATTGTTTGGGAAGCACGGTGGCACAACTGGTAGAGCTGCTGCCTCTCAGCAAGCAGGTCCCCAGTTCAAATCCCAGTCCGGAGACCTTTCTGAGTGGAGTTTGCATGTTCTCTCCGTGCATGCGTGGGTGGGTGCTCCGGTTTCCTCCCACAGACCAAAAACATGCATGTTAGGCTGATTGGTAACTCTAAATTGTCCCTAGGTGTGAGTGAGAGAGTGAATGGTTGTTTGTCTCGTTTGTCTCTATGTGTCCCTGTGATGGACTGGAGACCTGTCCAGGGTGTACCCCGCCCCTCGCACAGTGACTGCTGGACATGGACACCGGTGACCCCCATGACCCAAAATGGAAGAAGCGGGTAAAAGAAAATGGATGGATGTTTGTTTTCCTTGTTTTCAGTATGAGTACATAAAAGCATTTGTCATTCAGGAAATGGGAGCTATAATTTTAGTTTTTTTTATAACTTTTATACTTTTCTTAACATTTATCTTTAATTACTAATACATACAGATACATAAATCTGTCTATTATTGTAATAGCCAGTTGTATTGATAAGGAACTAAAGTATTAATTGATATCTAATGAAAAAGGGGCGGGATTAAATAAATACTTCTTCCAACTCTATTCTGACATCTGAGCTTCTCAAAAGGTGGAGCGATACTTGTGCACTTTATTTATTTCAAGTAGGTTTTTCTTTTTGTTTCTTTCTTCTTTGCTCAGATTGCCTATGTAGTTCACATGTTCAAAATAAACAAACAAGCAAAATCTCTTCATAAAAATACTTTGAGATTGCTTCATTAAGTTCAAAAGCACAATTCTCTTTGGAATCTGCTCCAGTATTTTTACTGAGTTTTTGAGCTTTTAGCTAGTATTCTGATTTAAGACTTTTGCTGTTTAACTTTTAGATACTGTTCTGCTTTTAGTTTTGAGCTAAACTTTTACTACTTTGAGCTATTAGAAAATATACTCCTTCGTGTTTAATATTTAGCTTTTAGCTAGCCGTGTGCTACTTTTAGCTTTTAGTTAGATTTTAGATCACTTTAACTTTTAGCTATAGCTAAATTTGTTATGTGTATTTGTCATATGCAGATTAACACAAGATCAACAATGCAATGAAATGTTCAGGATGAAAAGAACTGATTCGACTCACTAAAAATCAAGGTGAAATACTAAAGCATGCAATAAAGGTACAAAATAAAGTACCAAAACGTGAAAAAGAAATATAATTATTAAAAGATCCAAAATAAATATAGTAACCAACAACATGGTAGAATATAATGGTGCAAGTAGGATGAATTAGTATAAATAAGTATTTCACAGTATAATATAAGCTTAAATGTGCATGAATGATTGCACGTAACTAATATATACTACACAGGTTGTGTGACAGATGAATTGTGATAGTAAGTACATGATACAGCCACATAGTGCAGCAGCAATAAACATATTAGGTGTCACAGATGTGGCTTGGTGCAGATGTTATTGTCAATTTAGGTATTGCTTATGCCTCTGAATTTTAGCCAAGTATCACTCAACATCTACAACATCATCATAATTTAAATAAAGAACTGACTCTCAGATGACAGCAACTGAAATTTTATTAATTCAGGACAGAATAATGCCAAATCTGAGTTAATGAGCACATCAGGGAGTTTACATCTCCACAAAACCTACATCACAGATCCTCATTTCCTCACATGCACTAATGGGCAAAATGTTTTCCCAGTCATGATGTCCTGAGCAGGACAGTAACCCCAGATATGAGCATGAGTTTAAACACGTCTGATATTCTGGTTCAAATCACAGCCGCACTTTATGGAACATAATCAGACTCATTTGCAAACACGCCTTTCAACTAATCTTCCCTGCTCGCTGCACCGTAGTTTTCTGAATAACTCATATTTATTTTGTTTTTTAAAAGGCTTACTTCACATTCATGCTGCATTTTCACACAAAAAAAATTCTATTTCATTAAAAAAATATATACTAGAAATAAGTTTTGTGGTCTCAAAAAACAAAACAAAACGATTTTTAGGTTTTAAATATCTTGTCACATGATGACAAAGGTGGCTGCAAAGATTTGGAATATATACCTGTTGAATATGCACTAATTTTTTTATGTTTTATTGCTTTATGGTATTCATTAAATAAAACATCCAAGTCTATTTTAAATGAATGATTGAAAGACTAATGCTGCTGCAGGTGTTTCAATGAGCTGCTGATGTGCAGGAAAACAACATCTGCTGCAGCCTTGCATGCACAAATACTTACTTGCTCCAACCAAAAACACGTCGCTGCCAAAGAGCAACAGGACCACGGAGTTGATCCAAACCAGCAAACGAGCCATGCCTCGGGGGAGGGAGGGAGGGGGGGTGCTCTCTTCAGACACTAACAGAACCAAGTCTTATTGTTGAGGCGTAAATAAATCAAAACAGCTCATTTTTGTTGGTGCCCAAGCTGCAGATTTCCTCCGTGGAGGAATGGATGGACTCTCTGGTTCTGGGTGGTCAGTGGAGACAGAACCTGCGACTGAAGAGAGCAAAGGGAAACATGTCCATCACTCAGCCTTTAATCCCACAGGTCCTTCATGCAAAGTGTCCGCTGTCAGGTCCAAACCGTGCAGCAGCGCCATCCTCCTGCTCGGTCCTCGGTGAGCTGCAGGTGTCAGATAAAAATAAAAAAATAAAAAAAATCAGAACATGGAGGGTGCACGGACAGGCGATCCAGCACCGCGGACAGCGGCTGGAAGTTCACCGGAACGCGCTCATTCACGCGCGCCTCCTGCGGCACTCTGCGTTTAGAGAGAGAGAGAGAGAGAGAGAGAGAGAGAGAGAGAGAGAGAGAGA